TCATGGAAGCCAAAGCCTTCCCAATGACACCAGCACCACAGTCTTTGGTTGACTACGTGGATCCTCCTCTCCCTCCTCAGCCCATAGCCTGAGACTGGGAGGATCGAAGAAAACACCACCTGTGCCCCCAGACCCTTTAGCCCCACTCCCAAATCCCTGTAGCGCCTCATGACCCGGCTGGGAGCGCTCTGAGCTGTGTCATTTGTGCCCACGTGAATAAGGAGCATAGGATCGTGGTCTGTGGCCTGCAGATAGTGCTCTATCCTAGAGCATAGGATAGTGGTCTCCTGGTAACTGCCACCCAGCTTCCCTTCAGTCATTAGGTCACTGATTAGATTATCCCCCATTGCCAGAACCAGGTCGAGCGGTGCTTTACCTCTTGGCAGCCTGTCGATTTCTTGTGTCAGATAGAGCTTATCCACACCAGAGAAAGCTTTGCGACCACTTGGATTTTGCCAAGCGCTCTTCCCATGAGATGCCTAGGTAACTGAAGTCTCCCATGACAACCATACACTGCGAGAGTCCAGCCTCAGTCAATTCCCTGGTGAACTTCTGGTCAAGCTGTTGATCTTGGGTCAGAAGTCTGTAGTAGGCTCCCACCATTGTGTCCCCTGTGCCGTGTTCCCCATGGATTTTAACCCAGAGGGTCTCTAGTCATCTCTAGACATCATATTAGTGCATGACGTCCTGGTGTGACAGGATCACATGAATTATTTCTCCTGAAGAGACCAACTATAGGGCTATTGAATGGTCAAATGTGTGGAATATACCTAGAGATGACAATTGCATGGATTACCTATGTTTCCTCTTGAAGAGTCATTGCTTTTTCTCTTTGAGTCACTAGTCTGTTCTCATTGATTTTGGGATATAGGATATTTTGGGGGGACAAAGCCTATCAACTCAAGGATGGCTTGTTTGTAAATAGAGCAGTTCAGCAGGTACTTACCTGGCAGAATTGCTTCCCATATCACCAGTCCTCAAAGGAACAGACATAAGAATTTGCTTGCTGCAAAATCTCACTTTTGTTTTTCTTTTTCTCTCTTCATTTTATATTGCTCATTACAGAAAGTGGATGTCACCAGCAGGGCCGTCATGGAAATAATGGCCAAGACAATAGAGTATCTTCAGCCCAACCCAGGTAATGTAACTTGTTTCTGAGTCCTGGTGTACTTAAAACATGTTGACAGTTTCTTGGTTCTTTCAGTTTACAATATGCTTTGCCAAATAGGCTTTGCATTATAATTTCTTAATCACTGTATATTCTAGTGGACTGTGAGCTGAAGCATATTTATGTATGTGTTATTCACATACAGGAGACTGATCTCACTTGATTTCACTGGTATGATTTAAGATTAACATGAAATCAATGGAGTTATACTGCAGGAAAACAGATCAAGATTAAAATTTGGACCTTTGTTTTTAGGCATTTTTTTTTTGAGGATTAAGGAGGTGATGAAGGGTTCTGTGGTGCTAAAACCAGTACCAAAAGTAGCATCAGATTATTCAGATTTATCATTCTCATATAGCAGACAGCACTTAGGACAGTAAGCTTAACCAAGAGGGACCATGGTTGAACCATGAACATATATTTTAAATACATTTTAATGTGCAAGAGCCATGTAATGTATCAGCACTGCACATAAACTGTATACTATATCCCATGCTGTGTGAAACAGGTCAATAGTAAATCTATAAGCGCTACAAGCATAGCTGGGTAATGGGTATAGCATACTGTCAGCCCTTCTGTGCATGCCCCTACTGTGGCATAAGGCCTGTTACAGAGAGTTGATTGCTTAGTAAGGACCCTGTCAAAGGCAGTCAAAGCTCTAAGATGCTGCTTTGCAGGGTGATTTTCAATTCTCACTTTAGCTTGTTTCCCACCCACTCATTTTTACCTGTTTTTTTTTTTAAATAAATATTCAGGAAATGTTGTTCCCACAAAGATACATAAGAGGGGGAGGCAAGTTTTAGAGAGGTTTCTTTTCCATCCCTTATCTTTTGTCCCTCTTGCCCTTCTACCATACAAGTAGTCAGAAGGGATCTGAGTGTCCTTTATGCTGTAACCCAGTGCGTGTGTGCATGCATATGGAATCTCTCAGTCTCATACCCTGACACAACCAGGAACCTGATAAGAATTTGTACTCTACCATAACATAGGATGAGCAATAAATGGCTAGAAGTTGAGCCTAGGAGGGGCCTGACCCATTAGCAATTTTAGTGTTACTGTGATGGTAATTTTATGCTAGCAGCAAAGAGAGCTGCTAACACAGAACTCCTACTGCTATGCCCACAGCAGAATACATAATGTTCTCAAGCTCCCAAAAGTCTCAGCTTCTGCTTCAATCAGCACTGTTGGTTTCTACTTTACCTACCTCCATGTTGCCTGCTGCTGAGGTGAACTGAAGAGGTGAACTCTGGATGTAGCTACTTTTGAATAAAAGGAAATATCTACAGTTAGCAAAGTTGATGCCTCTATTCTACTCACATCTCAGTATTGATTAAAGCTGTACTGTGAGGAGAAATGTATTTTGACTTGACTTTTTTGCTTGTCTGGCCTTTGTTTCTGGGTGAGCCACTGCAGTCTAAAATGCCTCTCTGGGTAGATATGAACCAGGAAAAATTGGAATTACATGCTATGCATGTGAGATGGGAAGGACCATTATTAGTAATAACCTTATAGTTATTGTTAATTTCAGTTTTAGAGAGGCCAAAAGCATATGACTCCTTCCACTGAAGTGAGTTTCAATGTTTTTTAGTGTGCCAAGAGATTAAGACTGAGTAGAGAACCATATACCTGGTCCCGAGTCTCTGGATGTACACAACAGATTGTTAATGTAGTATTTAAAATACAGCTAGGGAGCATAGCACTGAAATAAGAGGAAACATGCAGATGTGTAAGAAAGCTATCAGGAGATATACAGGAAATACATGTTTTATTAAGAGCTGTTTGGACAGGGGTGATCCTGCCTCTGGTGGGGTGTTGAACCTGATGACCTCTGAAGGCCATTCCAGCCTTACTTCTCTATGATTCTACATTATAGGCAGAGTGTGAGGAATGGTTTCTCATCAGAGATGATGGAGTTAAGTCCCATAATGTACCGGAAAAACAAAATAATTTTGCTTCTCACACCTGCAGACACCAATATGTGCTTGCTTGCTTGCTTTCTCCTTCAACATCGCCCCGACCTTCAT